AGGTAATGCGACTTGAGAGTGCAGTTCTGCGTTGAGGAGTAGTGACACACTCGACAGATATACGGTCTCTCCCCCGTATGAGTTCGTATGTGCACAGTGAGATGACTCTTCTCTACCGTAGTGTAAGCACAGTGGGGACAGAAAAATGGTTTCTGTTTAGTATGCTGGGCCATTACGTGTTTACGCAAGTGAATCTTCTGCCGATAAATGCGACCACAGAAGGAGCAGCTGAAAGGCAACATTTTAGGAGGATAAGAAACCTTATCAGCTGGAGGATGATCGATAATAGGTTGAGGAGTTGGTTGGAAGGATAGATCATTGTTCGGGGAGGTAACGCAGGGTGGCTGGATAAGACTATTGATAAAACCTAAGTCTTGTGAAACAGGACTCTTATCAAGGTCCACCGACTGCTGATCGGGCAAAGAAAAGAGGTTTGACGGTGAGAACTCTTCCATTACGTGAGGATCGGACAAACCGTCTGTCTGACAGGAGGCCGATGCCGTCAGTTGAGGACACGATGATGGTGGTGGAGCTGAACTGCAGGAGCAAGAACCGACTGCACACAAACACGAAACACCTGCCTGCGAACAGCAAAGACTGAGAGCATATGAAGAGGAGGCATTGGTGACATCAACTGAGGTCATCTGCCGTAGATGCATGTCCAATTTACTGCAGGCAATTTTGTGAATAAGGCGCAAGCTATCCTCCAAATTTAAAGCCATATTCAAGGTACTGCATGAGTTGGGGGCGTATGAAACGCTATGAAATTTGAGACCTGAATTTCCAGCTTCACTTGAGGAGGCTCGACACGAAGTCCTAGGGACTTGGGGTGATGTAGATGATGGTGAGGCGGCTGTGACGAGAGGTCCCTGAAACAAACCACCTGATTCACCGATCTTTTGTGGAAATTTATCGAGGTTAACGTTCGCTAGTGAGCTGTCCTGATCGCGAACACCACCAATATGATCATTAGCAGAGCACTCCATCTGCTCATAGGAGAAAAGTGGAGTTTTTAGCCCAGCACCTGGTTGGCAACTTGTTCTGTCTGAATAGTTAAGATTTCTCACCAATTTAATTCCGTGGTCATTTTGAACATGAAAAAGAAGGGGCCACGGACTATGGAAAATCCGAACACATTGAGAGCACTGTAAACCCTCATATTTACTTTCAAACAAGGAGTTAGAACAATTAGAACGTTTGTGTTCAATGAAAAATGTTAGCTCGGACAAAGGAAACTCCAAAGAACATGATCCGCAATAGATAAAGTCGGGCCGCATGATTCAAGAAATGACAAACTACGAACAGACACGGGCTATTAGCCGGCCCTTTTTGATTGGCCAGAGGCATGTCATACAACATCAAATATAAAAAGGGTTAAGAAAATTTAATTTGAAGTTGATTAGAGACATACTCCTGGAATCAAAATTCTCAAAGCAGTGGGTGTTCACCTTCACATATTCTGTACACAAAGTGTGGGGAAGTTATTTTATTAATGTGGGCGACAATAAAACAAAAATGACAAAAATAGTGCCAGAACAGTATCAAAATATACAGAGTCCTTAAGTATAAGAAGGCAGTAAGCACAATGATGCCGGAAAAACACTAACGTAAATGTATTCGATCATTACCTGCTTGGTAATCAAGCAACAAATAATGTAAATGGTGCGTATGGAACCACATAATTTACTTTACCACAATATGCAGCTTTGTATTTCCTCTTTTCAGTGTAAGATGTCGTTGTGGATCATTTCTCAAAATATGGGTTTCTAAGTCTTCGCGGATCACAATTCTACTATCTGTTTTAAGGCTCAGCCTATGCGCGAAGTCACCTGGGTTTTGTACATTAATAATAAATCCTTCTTTACAGCTTTTTCTGTGAGGCCAAAAAGCGCAAAGGGCAAAATGTTAAAGCCAGAGACAAGTAATCTAATCGACAAGTCTGGAAATCTTACCTAGTGGGCTGTCTAAATTGCGAATAATATTCCTGCTTATGCCTAAAATACTCAATAATAATGATGGCCGTGTGCCACCATCTCAAGTAGTTAGATCTGTGACTACCCCTAACTAGTGAACACGTAGCGTAGCGTCCCGAGACTCCCTGAAGACGAAAGAAGACAAAATACTCGGGCAGAATATATATTCAGCGCAGAGAAGGTGTCTGGGCTACTCGCATGGCCCAAAAGGCCAGCCCACCCAGCGAGGTACAAGGGGGCTAATTCAAAGTCCAAGAGTGGCTCCTCACCAGAACCGAGGGATAAATCACTATCGTATTACAGTAAAGCCTAAAGTGGACTCAAAATCTATTTTTTAACCAAACTGCCATCCCGAATAAACTTATTTGTGCTTGGTCATTGTAGGCAAATGATACACTTAATAACCGTAAAAACTCATCAACTTATTTGATGTTATTCAAGCGTGATCATTAAATTTACCTGGTCTCTCAAGAGTTAAACTCGGAGGCAGGCATTTGTATCATGCCAGTACCTTTCGAAAGCAAAGGCTGTAGTAGCTTGGCTTAAAGTCAGCTACTTTTAAAGGCAAGTATTTACATCTTCTTTTATAAAATATCCCTTTGCCACGTAAGTTAGCATATTGTGAGGCACAAATCTCAACTTTTGCGTAAAAATAGTAAAATGTTTTAATGTGTTTCTTACAAAATTTTTTTCATGCAATGAGCACTTTTTTGTGCAGTTATTGTGCTTTTGTGAGTTTTAAGCGCTTTTTAGGTAACCCATATAGCAGCTTTAATGGCATTGATGTAACTTCTCAAGGCCAGCGTCGTTTCGCGCAGCAATCGAGATTTTTATTCTTCGTCCCTGAAAATGGATTCGTCTGATATTTATGGTGGTCCTCCTTTGCAAATGCCTCTCACACCAATGGAGTTTGTAAAGCAGCCAAGAGCATTGCTGAAAATTGCAGCCGCAGTAAGCGACTTTTTTTGCGGTTATGAATCTAAGTCCTACGACATATTTGGAATCCTACTAGTGTGTATTGGAAACGGGTTTTATTTCGCATAGGTACTATAGCAATAATTTGTGCGCTCGTAGAATTTTGTAGTTTTTTTTAATTTTGGTGAATTTTGTAGCCCTCAACTCTTATCTTCCCAATTGTTGGTAGTAAGGCTTTTTAATTCTTTTAAAAATATCTTAGTTAACCTGCTAAACCAAGTAAGTTGACTAACATTTAATATTTTAGATTATTTCAGTTATTGGTCTTGGCTGTGCTACTAATGGCTGCATGGTGGATGAATATTCCATATTTAACAACGACGCGAACGCATGTCGTTTTGCTGTGGCTGTTACTCTCCTTGGCTTTCTTTTTTCTCTCATTTCCCTTGTCTCTGACTATATGTACGATAAAACTGCTAACGTTAAGCGATGTCACTATATCCTCATAAGTGACATTGGCGGTGCCGGTACGTTTACTTAGTCATTGCTGTTATGATAAAATGACATTTCTCTGTCAATTATTCAAAGCAGATGCCTATAATTTTTGCGTATTTTTAGCACTGACTCCTAAGAAATATTTTGTGGTGATGGTGTACATTTTGTACGCATCTAATTACCAACAATAAATGAACTTCTTACAGTCTTATTAACAATATTTGTATTTATTTCTGGGAAGCTAGTGAATTTAACGGTTTCTGAGTAGAGTTTATCGTTTTTATTAAGTATGAAAATGCAAAATCTCACTTTTAGTCCCACTTTTACTCGTGCACTCGCTCATTGAGCCTCAGTTACAACATTTGAAGTATCATTAGATAAATTACAAGAACCTGGAATCCTTCTACTCCCTTTTATCAATGGCTAATCTTATCTGAATTATTTTCACTTATGATGTATGTGTAAATGAACATAACCAGAAGTAAGGACAAAAATGAAGTGAAAATGAAGTGAACATTGCCTGCCACTATTTTAGGTTTGTTCGCGCTACTGAATTTTGTGGCCTTCTGCTATCTGGCCAACCGTTGGTCGAACACCGAGGGCACGTGGTTGGAGGAGAGGGGCTTTGAGCAGTGGCAACAGCGGAACGCGCGCTCCGTCACCTTCTTTGCCTTTGTCGCCCTCGTGGCTTGGGTGAGTGCCCCTCGTTTACGCGCGCGTGAGCGCTTGCCATACATGTCCGTACGGCCGTACGCACGCACGCTTTTCTCAAAGCAGTCTCATTTCACAATCTTAAATCACATTTGTTCATTCGTTTGCGTGTTCATTCACTTGCTGCTTTGCCACTGGCGGCCTTGCCTTTGGGCACTGTCCAAACGGTACAACAGTTTTTTTGCTCATCGAGACAAGATTGGGGCCGTGTATTCCTGGTCAGCTCATTGCATAGCCGTTACATTTCACCACTTGGAAAGCGTATGGCCGAAATTAAGTATCCTATCTTTGTAGCATAAATTTGGCATTGTTTTTTTTGTAGGAAATTTGGTTACTAATTATTGCTACTTGTCGTAGACGAAACTGAAGTTACTTATTATGTAATCTGAAGGGCGTATTCGTACGAAAATGCTACAAATAGTGAATGCTTTCAAACAGCTTGGTAACAGATTTAATCGTCCATATTCAGCAGAAATTGGTTTAACTTTACTCCAAAGCAAGGGCAAATGACCAGGTATGTATCCTTTGTGGCTACTTCTTGCAATTTATTGCTTTCCGTATTTCATTTTATCGACAAAACTTGTTCGTCTCACTGCATTTTATTTTTAACGCCAACTTCCCATAATTCCTATATTTTTATGTAAACTAAACGCTGCGGTGGTCTTTAACGTTTAGACAATACTGGTATCATTACCTTGATTGATGTCGGGTATCCTAAGAACCTAAGTTAAAGAAGTGCTTGAATGCATACTTTGTGCCAGTTTTCTGACTGTTTTACACATAGTGAATGTTCCGGGGCGTATCTTCATGAAAGTGACAAATAAAGTTTCATATAAAAGTCAGCCTATGGATATCTTCCCAAACCTATAAACTGATGTACTTGGATAAAATATGACTTAAATGTAGATGACAATTTATAAGGAAATAGCTAGACGTTTTGGCAGTGCTTGGCAATTTTCTCATACTGAAGCGGCAATTCTTACCACTTCTGTTGTTTTACATATGTTTGTATGTTTTATTTTGTTTCGATGGGAAATAATAAGTCACTTGAACCAATCTTGTTTTCCTAACTTTGGCATGGCTTTCAATCCCCCTCTGCTTGCTTGCTTGTTTGCCTGCCCGCCTGTCTATCTCGTGAGTTTGCAGTTGTGCATTTTGCGCGTTTGCTTGTTCAACTCGCCCTGCCTCTGGGCACAACTCATTTGGGGCGACGAGTGTCTTCGTTCTTTAGAAAGCAACTACGAAAGACATCAAAATTAGTGCAATATTTTTTTTCCAATAAAGATTAAGAGGAAAATACATCCTGTTTATAGCCGACCTACCTGGAGGGAAGTAGGACTAAAAAAATGCAAGAAGGTGAATTAACAAGTCGAGTATGCATTATAATTAATGACTGCTTTTTATATTTTTTTTAGCAAATTCATTATACGTAAGTATTTCGTTCGCGTCATCAAACTGCCTCGGCATAACAACAGGCATGAGTAGATAGCTTATTTAAACTCATCAACTGTTTCAATACCTTGCCGTCAATTGGTTGCTCAAAAATAATCTCTAATATTCATCTAACTCAGCCGCGCAGTTAATTTAAGATAGTGTAATAATTCCATCTTTTATTTTGGCTGGTAGTGCGGAAACCAAAATCCTGAAAATTTATGAGGTTTTTGTATAGGACCTTCTTAAAAGTCGAAATTTGTAACAAAATGAAATGCTCCCCTCTAGCAAATGAATTATAATGTGTTCAAAATTCGAGAATCCTTTCAGCTCTTCACCTGTCGCACACAATTGTGTCTTGCTGAAAATCAAATCTAGTGTTTGGATTTTATGCAAAAAGGGTGATTTTTTTACTAAAGCCTAATTTGTTATTCTTCACATTCTAAAGAATAATACCCGAATAACAGCTTGTTTTATATCTATTCCTCTACCGCGACTAATGTGTAATGTGAATGGAATTTAAAGATGTCATAAGTTCCTTGGTGATCAACATTTTGTTTATTCCTGAGACGTTTATTCAAATTAGTTTTGATTGTACAATACCGAAAGTGGAGATGGGGAAATGAAAAAGTGAACCATTTTGATTTCTTCAAAGCCGTCAAGCGCTTTAAAGGTAGTCATTATTCCTCCCAACTTTCTCCTTCTGATGTGTGTGTCCCACAAATTCGTCCATTCGTTTTTGCGTTTTGCGCATCGTCGTTTTGGCCGCCTCTGCTTCCGTATGCTGCTGAAACAGTGACAACTAACTCACATCACTGTGAGGTATTGCTAGCCTATCTCAACGTTCGTTTCTCTCCTCAGCTGATATATTTATCGTTAAATTTTTTTTTGAAAATAAGTACATTTCTTTTCTCAGTCAAAACTTTAAGCATAGAAATAGCATTCTAATCTTTTCATTTGTTTGAAGCTGATAGTAACGACTTTTGACTGTTATAAATACATTTCATATTAAAGTAATTAACGTAGCAACATTTTTTGCTTTTGCCGTAATCGCTTGTAGAGTAAATTATAGTAATGGCATATTATGGATAAACAAACTAAAAAATAGGCATTTTGTAAATAAGATCAACTATGAAGGTGATTTGTCCCTACTTTCGCAGCCATGGACCGCCATCAAAATGGGGAACTAACATTTTCCCCTTTGGTTCATGCGAGGCAGTATGATCTTAAATATTACTGAAAAGAAAACAATATGAAACGATAAAATCATGAAAAGTAATTGCCCTTTGTGATCAACTTGCGTTTTGATTATTAAAATTTTCAAAAAATGACAAGAATCTCTTTGTTATTGTCAAAATTTCGAACCTTCACGTAAATAAAATGACTTAAAACCAGATGAGTACGCTTTGTTTCATTAAAAAGAGTAACTTCAGGTTCAATCCGTTTCATTTTAGGATTACAGAGTTCTCACTTTTTTAGTTGTTTATCTTTTTTAAATTGTGCTATTTGAAGCACATCAAAATGTGAACTAGTCATCGGACTTAGTCGTAAGGACTCATGCCTTTCATCTTCATGGTGTCTTTAAATCCCTCTGTAAGTTTAATGCCTTCTAAGCAGGTGGATAGGGTGCTCCTAATTCCCTGTCTAACGCATTTCATATTTCTCATTTGTGAGTGCTTCGTCGTTACCTTGTCAATAAATTTTTGGTCTTTGTTGATTTGGTCCAAACAAGTTATTGGGATGATTTGACGTCTAGATGTTTGGGAATACGCAATTTTAAAATTGATTGCCTTAAAATAACTGCTTCGCTTAATTCACATTTCACTTGTTAACTGCAAAAATCGCTTTTCCAAAGCTGGAATGATCCATCGCACGAGGTATCTTATGAAAAGAAATTTTCCTACCCAAATGCAGCTTTGACCAGAATCTCTATTCACCACCAGTTGGGCTTCGTTTCATCTGCAACGATGAATAAGTTTATAAGTGATTTTATCAGTATAAAATCTCATCATGCTAAAGCGCTTCGCGCTTACCAACAGAAGATTAGCTACTGGATGTTCCAGTGCTAGATTCAAAGTGGATTAGAAAAAACATCGAATATTTGGAGGAATTACTTGTTAAATGTATTCCTGTTAAATATTCTTATGTCGTCAAACTGTAATCAAAATTATGAGCATTTAAACGAAAGAACGAAGGATCTTTCTTTACTTTTCTAAGAAATGCACAAATTGCTGACTGAATTGAAGTTTAAATAAGGCAAAATGAACTTTTTTGAGTTACGTATTAAATTGCCCTAGTTACTTTTAAGTTGTGCCTGAGTGCTTTTGTCCCATGTCTGTTTGTACTTTATAATCCGTTTTTAGCTACATGCTGCAATTGATTTTTAAACATGCAAAAGCATTAGTCTAAAACAGGACTTAAGATTTTTATAACTACTGCCGTTTGTAAAATTTTGAATTATGGGAATTTCATGGGGTCAGCTTTTTAAAGTGTGCTCACTCGGAGTATAACATGTAGAAAAGGTTTTCTTAGGATTTTTTGAATCACTCGTTAGGGTCAGTGCTTCCAATATCTACTGCTACACATCGTTCAGTCAATCGTTCACATTTTATCCTGTTTTGAGGAATTTCTTAATTGAGTATCATCTTTAAGTCTGTCCTTTTTGTGGTTGGGCTGCTTATAACACTCAAATATCTCACACAAAATAACTATTTTATCTTACTGATGTAAAATTTATTCATTACCTATTTGATACTAAAGCACCCTGAGGCTTCTTTGAAGTCGTAATAAAGCCAAGTAGTGAGGAAAAGTATACATTAATAACGTAGGGAAGAGCTGAGAAACTACTAGCATGGCCTAAAGGCTATGCTGCCAAGTAGGGATATAATTCGGGAGGACTTGAGAGACCGTGTAACTGAACACACAGTTAAGTAAAATACCAAAAGCCTACGATACATTGAAGTTTCATCCAATATGCTATGTAAAGGAATGGGCGTTCTTGACATCCTTCATGGATACATAAAGGTAGTTACGTAAAACCTTGTCGTTTCTCCCGTCCACTTCAATTTTCAAACCCTTTAATCTCAAAGCTTGATTTGTTGAGGGCACATTGTAGTGTGGGAAAAGATGATTGCGCAGACAGTAAAATTTAAGCGAAAATCGGGATTTGCATTCCCTTCAGTGGTCAATAGTGACGCCTGAATCGCTAGGCTTGTTTAACTTGATGGTGTGTTACATAAAAGCTGTGGTCGGATAAGCATGTTTTGTAGCCACTTTTTGACTTTTTTGCAGTGACCACTGTTGGTTTACAAATTGTAAACTATTTCAGACTAGTATATTCAAGTAGGTTTCATTAAGTTTTTGAGGTACTCAGTAATAAAACTTGAAAGCAATGCCGGAGTGGACGACCAACTACGTAGGTTGGTATTGTTACCCATCTATCCAGTTTATTAAATATTTAAGCCAAACGGATATCTACTTGCCTATTTTTCTGACCTACATAATTAATGTTATCTCTTATTTGCTCCTTTGTTTAACAGTAGCCTGGAATTTCAATAATAACCTACTTTAATTTACGCATTGGTGAGCTAAATTTTTTGAATGCATTTTTCGATAAAATTTTATTTTGAATTGAAAGCTATCAGATGAAAATTTAGAAACTCCTGCTCCTTGATTCTATTAAATTTCTCCATAAATTTTGCCGAATTTTTGATAATATATCTTCTATTTTGATGTATGCTATGCCAAAAACCTCCGATACTTTAAGTGCAACGGTTTCCGGTGTTCCCTTTTTCATCTCCGGCTTCATACTATTAAGACTGGATAAGTGGGTGGTGAAGGTAAAGTTCACGGTATGGTGGCAGTTTATGGGTTATTAAAGTTTAAAGGAGATAGGTGTTCCCTACCTCTTCAAGGGTCGATGGTCTCCGCTTAGTTACGTGGAAAACCTAATCCGACCGCTTGTCAGCTAAGCGGTACACTCAAATACGCATGGTTCGCAAAAGTACTCGCTTATTATCGCTGGAAATGTGCTACTATTATGTGAGAGCTTTGATATTTGATTCCCTTGCATCAACTTGTCTTATGCGACTTGATGAACCACATCTCGATCCTAAATCACGTTGCTAAAATACCGCTCAGTTTGACTCGAAAATAAATTTAAAGGATTCTAAGGCAATAATAAGGCGAAATTTGTATGCTGGTTTTGTTAAACTCTTAGGTAAATCAAATGATTTTGACTAAATTTAACGAAACTTCTTTTTACTAGCCACTTTAATGCATGAAGTTATTCTCGATTTATTGTAACTTTGTTCAGCGCGCAATTATCTCGTCAACATCAAAATTTGAAGCCTTCATCGCTTTTACCTATAAAAAGTATCAGGTCACTTCCCCTATGGGTTTGCGAAACAACACCAATTATTTGCAAATTTTAGGTGAATTACTCAGGCACGGATGAATCGCTTCCAAAAGCCTCTTTTGCGTCACGGAAGAATAGATGGTGCTATACAATGGAAAGCAACTGTTTTCTATTCCAGTAGCAGTATTCTTGAGAAAAAAGATTAAATGACCTATGTGCAGAAGGTAGTAATGCTAAATACTCAACCAGTGTATCCAAAACCCTTCTACGTAAAATAGTTACAAAAATTAAGAAAGAGAATCATTGCGTTCTTGATGCCGCAGATAAATTTGAACTTAGATTTGTCAATCATACTTTTTCAGCAAGCTTTTGGCTACTTGGATACGCAAAAGTGCTCAGCTTATGCTACCCAGGTAACACATTGGAAATTACGATTAACCTAATCGCTCCACCACTGATCTGAAAATCCACCTCTTGATTTTCATTAAAAGTACATTACATTACATTATTACATTATTTGCTAATGTTCTCACAGATTTTGCGCATATAAAAATACATGTCAAACTTTTGCTGCACTTTGGTAAATTGTTTACTTATTTAAAGTCAGTAGAATGATTTCTATTTTATATCCAAATAGATGTATGATGATCCAATAGATATAAAGTAGATGATATTTGTTATCATCTGTGTCCAGATTGTGAAATGGTGCCCATGGTGCCCAAATCCTGGAAGAGGGCACTTCACTTTCTCCTGCTCACACTCAAGCAAAACTTTTATTTTCGGCTCTTCCTTAATTCTATCCATGCGAATACCAAAATTGTGGATGCAGAGGGGTGTTTTGGTGGGTTTTATGCGCCCTGAACTTAAAAGAGCTGAATTGGGACCTCTGCAAAGAAAGTTTAAATCAGGTTTGGACTCTTGAAGTCTAACGAAAGCGGCAAAGTAATTCCATAGAGCACAAAATATTTGTTCACTTATAATGCTCAAGAATCACGGAGAAAAAGTAAAAGTTACTGTAAGCTCAAGTTGGATCATGTGTTGCTTATTAGAGATCGAGTTCTACATTCGGCGGCTTGATGCAGTACTATCACTTCTAGGATCCTCACTGACACACATTCGATCGTCTTTGAAACATGCGGACGTTATTCTTATACCAGAGCTCCACATCACCGTTTTGTGCTCGAAGACCTCTGAAAAGTGTATATCCACGAGCCTAACATCTTCATTTGCAGGAGGCTGTATCGTTGCATATGGTTTCATACACTCCGTTCTAGCACTATGATTAACGGTGTGCGGACTGGTCCGTGAGTAACAGGTCGCATCGCCTTAAACAGAGGGTGGCATTGCTCCAGTAGTATTCCCTCAAAATTAAATCACTGGGGGTGTCTTGAACTCCTCTTCTACAACTACTCCAATTCTAATGAATTACACCCCAATTGTCTCCAGAGTGGTCTCACGTTCATGGCACTATTGCGTTTCCGTGCCGGTGGGCAAAGCCCTCTTGGCAATGGTTTCGTTCCTTCTTCCATGGAACCAGGGACAGGCAGCTCAGCAGGCATTGACGACATGTACCCTCCACCACCCGCCAGTGCAGGTCCCACACCACCACACCAACAACAGCCAATGGGAGGCGGCGGCGGCGTTGGGGCTATAAATCAACCCACCTATTACCCCCCACCCACTTTTTAACAGCTACATCCCGCCTGCCCAACTCTTCAAGCTCTGCATTCCTTCTCCTCCACCTGCTCTCACCGATGTTGTCCACAAAGTGTTGTATGATCATGAGGACACTGCTTTTCGCACTTCTGTTGTGACAAATCCAGTGCTGTTAGATTTTTTTAATCCTCTTCCATTCCTTTCTTTCTTGGGCTCTACGTGTTCCGAAATTAACTTTATCTGCATTTGTTTGTCTCACATTTTCCCTTTTTTCTCATGCTTACAGAATTTGAAAGTTACTGCTAATAACATTGCTATTAGTGTAGTAGTTTCTATTTGTTACTCTTCATAGGGCATAGACTAGGTATTTGCCAAGGCTTTAACTTCGGTGCAACTGCGGCTGGATTATGTGGGCAATTCTTTTGTATGCCTGCAAATGTTAAGACTTTCAAGACTCAAAGAATATATTAAGTTCAAGCACAAGTTATGAGAATATTTTATTCAAGAAGATTGCACTTAGTAACCAGTGCAAATCCAGGCACTCAATCTGATTAATAAATAAAATTAATCACACAGCTTTTCATTTCAGTCTAAATGATTTGTCCAAGTTTTGTCATATAATCTTAAAATCAAACGAAGGCAAATTTTGCTAAGGTTTACGAGACATTTATTTTGAAAAGTACCATGAACTGCCCAGGAATGTCTTGAGCTAAATTAACCTGACACCGACAATTAGAAATGTGGTACTCACTTATGCATCACGGCAAAAAACACTACTCGACTATTCATTTGTATCTGGTAGTGCCATTTATGCCAAGC